TTTCAAATCTACACAGGAAAAATTGGCGAGAAAGCAGAACTAAATCTGGGAGCAAGAGTGGTTACTGATTTAACAAGATCTTTAGTAAATTTAAACCATAGAGTCTATTTTGACAATTATTTTACGTCTTTGCCGCTCTTGCGACAACTAAGATCTGAAAAAATATATGCCTGTGGTACCATAAGAGCGAAACGTATAGGAATACCAGGAGATTTAAAAACTGATAAGGAAATGAAAAGGGGCGATACAGACTGGCGAATAACTGAGGATGGAATAAGTTTTGTAAAATGGAAGGATAAAAGGATTGTGACCATGGCGAGCAATTTTCATAGACCCGATGTTATAGGAACTTGTGACCGAAAAAAAAAGGATGGTGAGAAGGAAACCATTAGTTGTCCAGACATTGTAAAAGATTACAATACGAACATGGGATTTGTGGACAAGGCAGACATGCTCAAGACGACTTATGAAATTGACAGGAAGAGCAGGAAATGGTGGCCCAGAATATTATGGCATTTTCTTGATGTAGCAATAGTGAATTCGTTCATAATTTATAAAGAAAGGTGTAAAGGAACCAATTTGAGTCTAAAAGATTTCCGGTTGTTCATTGTAACTGGGCTGGTTGGGGCAGGTAGTGAAACTCCTAACAGAGGTAGACCAAGGGGTCAAATGCCTGTAAGCCATTTCAAGCCCAATATTCCTCTAGAGAAGAGATGGGATCAGGCTGCTCACATGCCAATTCATTCGAATTCTCGAAGATGTGCACTGTGCAGTTCAAGAAAAGAACAGCATCGTACCCGATGGACTTGTTCTACTTGTGATGTAGGATTGTGCCTAAGTGATAAAAAAAATTGTTTTGAGAGGTTCCACAAAAAAAATGATTAGGGAAGATTACACATCATAAAAAGTAATGTAAAATACAAAAATAAAAGTTTGTATTATTTTAATAAACTTGTTTTCATTGCTTGGTGGTACCATGGTGACACCACTTACTAACTTTAATTTTTAAAGGAAAAAACATTTTTTTGGTGTAAATTCATAATATTCGCCATGTAATAAAAGTAATTTTTTAATCAAAATTTATTTTTTTACATTATTGAAAATTCTGCCTTGAAAGGGTTAAGGGCACTTACCGAACCTAATTCAGTATCCAGTGATTTACATAGGATTGGCCTATATAGTAAAAGGTATAACTTACATGTGATACAAGTGTTTGTTATCTTCACATGTATGTATAAATCCAGAAGTTCCAAAAGTGAGGTTATCTACATGTTTGGTCTCACTGTAGATAGACAATGGTATGATAAGTGAGTCATGAGTCCTATCCACGTGGTATCTGTTTAACGTAGAACTCAATGTGGTTCCACCAGAGTGCTACCAAGAGGGTTGCTGAAGGAAGGCTACCAAAGCCCCAACTGAGAGCAATCTAGATCCAGTCTAGAATCTCTCTAAATACAGCTTAGCAACTGTCCAACTATAGTCTGAGACTAGGATTGTCCAACTATAGCCTGAGACTAGGATTGTCCAACTATAGCCTGAGACTAGGATTGTCCAACTATAGCCTGAGAATAGGACCCTATAACGATATTCGTATAAAAAAACAAATCGAGCCCCAAATATTAGAAATAATCTTACCTCAAATTGAGGGATACTCTAGACCAAAGGTGAAGTCTTAAACTTCCAAATGCTGCTCGGAACAGTCCTATTGAAGAAACGAAACACGTGTTGTAGGTTAATAATCCTGAAGAAAATCTCAAAAACTTACCGAAACAAAATCCAAAATGACCAAGGGACGACTCCAGACAATTATCAAAAAGAAATTAGTCTAAACCTTGAGCTCCCTGGCACAAAATTCCAAAAAGTCTCGCCCCAAAAACAATTAGGGCCGAGGCCCGAGACCGGACGACTACTCAGCGTGGGGTCGCAGATCAAAAAGCCAGATTCTTCATTTAGAATTTAGATTTCGGAAGAAGACTTTCATCTGTCAAACTTCTAATTTTGACATTGAAGAAAATTATAGAAAAGGACGTGTTCAGTTTCACCCCAAAAGTACGAACTGAGAATCGGTTGTGTAAAAAATGACTGGTGAATGTTGAAAAGTGCCTATAGAACATATATCAAAAGGTAGAACAGGTCTAAAGAAAACGCCTAGACAAAACAGCTGTTCAATGACATGATGGAAATGAAAAGTCAAAGAGTACAAAAAAACAACAATTATTATCATAACCTCAGATGATTGATTGGATTTGCAAACAGAGATGGTGATGGTACTAACTCCCTTTCCTAAGATTCTAATCAATAACAGCGGGCCCTGCCGTACTGAATCAAACCTTCCCAGATCAATTAACCAAACTTGCAAACCTGAACCAAAAAAACTTCTAGTAGAAGGCAGCACTCAAGGTAACAAAATCTGGGCACAAAAAAAGATAGTTGTTTATTCATTTATTTCATTGTAGTTCTATATGGAATCATATCTACTAAAGCAAAACAAGGTAGCTTATTAGCCAAGAAATTGAAAATGTTACACTACCCCCTTCCAAAAAGAAATAAGAAAGCTGGAAGATTTCTTATTAACCACAAACCACAAACGGCACAACAAAAATTCCAAGAAAAAACTCTACTGAAGCTAGAAAAAAAGTCAAAATCGGGTTATGTACTTGCCTAAAGCAAAATACAAATGTCAAAATCAAGTATCAAAAGCAATAAAGTCTAAATAGGTTTATTTTTGGTTTAATTTTTTGGCGTTAGCACAACATAATCCAAACTGCAAAACAATATACTCGAAACTGCAGAGACAAATTATATTAGGAATACTATGTTTATGCTCACCAAGGTCAAATCCAGAGTTCCAAAATGAATTCACAAAATATTTCCAAAAGCTAGAGACATATATGGCAAAGTGGGTGTCGCGACTACTCACAAAACCAAACGCTCAAAAAAAAATCATACTAATTTTACAAAGTGGCATCAAAACATGAATACTGACACAACAACCAAAGACTAATTTTTGACAAAATATGATTTCTCTTCCATACTTGATCACCAACATAAAATGAGGCGTCCCTCTTACGTAAGTTGTAAGTGTGAGAGTTTCTCTGATAAGCTGCATGTAAACACTTTTTTACATCAGCATAGATTTGTTTAAAATTTTCCAAGCCAGTAGCATGACAATTCCTGTCACCCTGAGTTATTTCGACATCTTTATTCTGTAACAACTGAATATCGGAATAGAACTTCCCAGATAATGGTGGATGTCTACCAAATACTAGAAAAGATGGTGTGAAATAGGTGACTTCATGTTTGGAATTATTGATCGCATGTTGGATTTTAAAAATCTGATCATCCCACTGAACATGATTATCGACATAACTCCTGATGGCGGTACCTATAGTTCGATTATCCCTTTCAACAAAATTACACTGTGGAGAATACGTTGCGTTGTACCAAATCTTAACGTCATAATTCTTGCACAGTGTTTTAAAAGTTTTTGAAACGAACTGAGGACCATTGTCACAAATCAGAATTTGGGGACAGCCATAAACTAAATAACTTCATTTTCCAAAACATGTTCGATGTGAGAAATAAGCAAACAAACGAACCTAAATAACAACTTACAAAAAAAAATGTCCCTACCCACAAAAGTTACCAAAAACAGAACCACTCTTTGGTTTAGAAAATTCAGCAAATAGAGAATAGTTTAATGCAACAATAGCAAAAATAAAATTAATAGTTCTCTATTGCATGTATTCTAATATCAAATCAAAAAAAGTAAACTTAATCAGTAGAACTCACGAACCATTTAATTCAAACTCTAATCAAAATACTTTGTTAAAAAAAAAAATACACAATATACTTAATATAAACAAAGTTCCAAAAAATTATTGAGCCACTACTCCAATTGTCTTGTTAAGATAGAGATGTATTCAAGGGCCACACACGTTTGGGTGTTAAAAAGTTAGCCACGCCCCACGTTGTTGCGCCAAAAAGTTAATTTTTACTTAATTGGGAAGAATAACGTAATGATGTTATAAACAAAACCTGTGCAATTGGAGAGCTTATCAATAAAACTAATTAGGTACAATAATGTATCTGGCTTCTTTATTAAAAAAATAATAACAATAATGAATAGGGATAGCCAGGACGTTGTTAAAAATATGTATGCATTATGGCTTGTACCAATTTATAAATATTTGATTATCAAAAGAATGAATGTAAATAATGCATATATAAATATGAATTCCAAGTAAACATGGCTAAAAACCTTTTGGTATTTAGACTTGTGGAAGATTAAAGAAAACAGTATGGGTTACACTTTACCAACAGGCAAATTAAACACAGAAAGATGAAAGTTATTGTTAGGGCAACCTCAGGGTAAAATTCTAGAATTTTATTTAAGGGCACTTACCGAACCTAATTCAGTGATTTACATAGGATTTGCCTATATAGTAAAAGGTGTAACTTACATGTGATACAAGTGTTTGTTATCTTCTCATGTATGTGTAAATCCAGAAGTTCCAAAAGTGAGGTTAGCTACATGTTTGGTCTCACTGTAGATAGACAATAGCCTAGTTTACACCGACAACTTGGTACGCGGACCAAGCACCAAATTCGTACTATATCAGAACCAAATATTTAGTTCGAACGGTGTAAACGCTTGCGGACTAAGCTGGTCCGCTCTTGGTTCGGTACGCGCCAACAGAGGTACCGAACTAAATTTGGTCCGGATTTGGTTCGAGGTCAATCAGTGTAAACGCAACCGGAACAAATTTGACAGACAACTTGTCGAATTTATAAGGTTATGTTTCTGTTAGGTGTGATCAAGTGTGGTGTATTTGCGGTACATTTGTTATTTCTTTGTAAGGATTTACCTTGTTTGAAATTAATTTATTACGAAATACACAAGAAATGTCCGCGACCCAAAAAAAAAGGGACCTAATTGGTCACAAGCTGAAATAAAAACGTTTCTTCAACTATGTATTGAAAAAAAAATCGTTCAATTAATGGACACAAAGAAGTTTAGGCATGTGGATATTTTTAAAATGTTGGTGAGAGGAATGAGTGACCAAGGTTTTGAGAAGACACCGGACCAAATGAAGCTAAAATTGAAAAAACTTAAACAAGAGTACATAAATTGTAAAAAAAACAACAGCAAAAGTGGAGCAGCACCATCAACATGTCCATTCTATGAAGAACTAGATTTACTATTTAGTTTAAGGCCCAATTTAGCTGTTAATATGGACTGTACTGAAGGCATAGATACAGGGGACTACGAAATTGAACAGGAATGTACTGATATCTTTTATGGTAAGTAAAAGGTTTATTTCCTATTTCCTGATTAATAATAGTTCATAGTGCTTGAGTTCGTTTATTGCATCTGCGAGCAAAATGAGCAAATTTTGACGGTAAAATCACGCAATATCTGTCAAATTTTGCTCATTTTGCTCGCAGATGAAATAAACGAACTCAACCAGTATTAGTCAATAATAATCTATTTAATCAATTCTAGGTGAGCAAGCTGAGGATGGGACCGATTTTGATCCCGGTGAGGGCACCAGTAGAGATTCAAATTCAGAAACTCCTCATTCAGCCAAAAGATCGGGTTCCAATGTTCAAAGTGAGTGGGACATACCTATATAATATAATTTTATGTAATAATTATTATTGTATTATTTGAATGGAGAAAAAGCTATAAATAGTGTATAGTATTAGTCAATAATAATTTATTTAATCAATTCTAGGTGAGCAAGCTGAGGATGTGACCGATTTTGATCCTGGTGAGGGAACCAGTAGAGATTCAAATTCAGAAACTCCTCATTCAGCCAAAAGATCGCGTTCCCATGTTGAAGGTGAGTGGGACGTACCTACATATATAATATAATTTTATGTAATATCTAATTATTATTGTATTATTTGAAGGGAGAAAAAGCTATAAAGCTGCCTTAAATGAATATAGTGAAAAATTGCTTGAAAAGCAAGGAACCCTTATTAATAATACAATAACCAAGATGTTAGATTCACAGAAAGAAATGTTAGAAACAGCTAACCGTGAACAGAGACAATGGGAGTTAGAAATGTTAGAAAAAGAACAAGAATTCCAACGAAAACAGACTGAAACCATGATGCAGATGTTTACACAATGCATTCAGTCTTTGAGACCACCTACTGTGAGCAACCTTGGTCCTTTGAGATTGGTTAACGTATGTAGCTAATCAAGAGTAACAAAGTATTTTGTAAACATTTATTTTATTAATTTCAGCTAACGTCACAAAGGAACTTGAAAGATGCTGAAGTGGAAAAACAGAACAAGGAATTAAAATAAGAATTGGCATTATTTTTTCTATGTTATTGTTTTATTCTGAACAATAAACAGAGTTTTGTATAAATTGTATTTTACTTAATCAGCGTCTTAAAATTGATTGTCTTAGCGGGAAATTTCGGGCAAGATATTCCATAAGATGATCTCTTGTCTGTGAAGCAGTAGGTGCACTTCTCTCACGACTCAATTCCCCTTGTGGCTGTTGGTAGACTTTCTCAGTTTCCAACACAACCTCCATCCAATGCAGTAAAAAAACATCCCGGTTTTTCTCTGCCATATTATGGAGTGCACAGCAAGCAATAATAAGTTGAGGAGCGAATTTGTAGGAAACATCCATTCTTTTTAAAAGCATTCTCCACCTACCCTTTAATCTTCCAAAAGCCATTTCTATGGACACCCTTGCAGAGTCTAAATAAACATTGAAGGATTCCTGGGCTTCAGACACATTACCGGAATATGCTTTTAACAGCCAAGGCAATAATGGATATGCCGGATCCCCAATCAACATGAAAGGGATCTTGTATCCATCGACAATTGCGCTTCCCTAAAGTAAGTAATGTTTAGCTTGCAAGTATTAACTTAAAAAAATATTTTTTACCTGTGGAATCAACCTATCGGAATGCTGGTAGACTTTACTCTCTTTAAGTACCCGAGCATCGTGTGTGCTACCTGGATGCTTGCTAACAACATTTAGGAATCTGTAAAACAAAGCTTATAAATATAAAATGTATACCTATATTGTACCGGAAACCATACGACTTGCCTTCCATTATGATCAACTATGGCTTGAACATTATATGAGGCCCACCCTTTTCTGTTCACAAAATCTCTGTAGCCATCAGCAGGCGCCATAATTGGAACGTGAGTTCCATCTATATAACCAATTATTTGAGGTATATGTGACCTGTTTTTGAATTGTTGTGAAATATACTGGGCTTCTAACTCCTTTGGCATGCGTATTTCATTTGGAACAATCACTTTATTGATCGCTGCAACTACTCTATACAAACATTTTTTAACAGTGGACTTATGGACACCAAATACATTGCCCACCACTCGATATTCGGCACAACTAGCCATTTTGTATAATGCAATGGCTACTTGCTTTTTAACAGATAATGGCACTCTAGGCTTCAAAGAGACTTCTTTTGGTTTTAATTCATTTTCCAATTTGTTACATATTTCTGAAAACGTTTTCTTTGATATTCGAAAATCTTCTATCCATTCAGCATCAGTGTATCTTCCCAGAACAATTTTGTTCCAGTGATCCTCACTTCTTTGTTTCATCCAAATTCGTTTATAGCGGATTCCATCCCCAACCAGTTGTTGATCTGTTCCATCAGTTAAAAAAAGATTAAAGATCACCATATTATTATGTAATTGTTGATTAAATTGGAGTTTTAATCTGTTACGAAGATCTTGCCTTGCCCTTTTAAACCTCTTGAATAACCTTTTCCTTCTATATTGATTATTTTCTTTTATAAAGATCAAAAGCTTGTAGAACAAAGGAATTAATTTATCCGTTAACATGTTCCAGCTGCAAAATATGTAATTCTATGAAATAAGGTAAATACTATAAAAGCAAGACTCAAGACTTACCAGTATTAAATTAGAATTATTTGGCAAAGAGTAAAAGAGTAAAGCATTTCCTGAATTTTCAATTCTGTTGTCTTTTTAATTATTTTCACTTTTTGTTTGTTATGTTATGAGGATAAGATTTTTTTGGTTATGTTGTTATATGAAATTTAATATTTGACATTTGACGAACTTGGCGCACACATTTTAGTTCGCGCCTTGCAAGACGGTGTAAACGGACTAGAACCAAGCATTGGTGCTACCGTACTATCCCCACCCACTTAGTCCTATCGGACCGTACTAAACTTTTATGGGTGTAAACTAGGCTGGTGGTATGATAAGTGAGTCATGAGTCCTATCCACGTGGTATCTGTTTAACGTAGAACTCAATGTGGTTCCACCAGAGTGCTACCAAGAGGGTTGCTGAAGGGAGGCTACCAAAGCCCCAACTGAGAGCAATCTAGATCCAGTCTAGAATCTCTCTAAATACAGCTTAGCAACTGTCCAACTATAGTCTGAGACTAGGATTGTCCAACTATAGTCTGAGACTAGGATTGTCCAACTATAGCCTGAGACTAGGACCCTATAACGATGTTCGTATAAAAAAACAAATCGAGCCCCAAATATTAGAAATAATCTTGCCTCAAATTGAGGGATACTCTAGACCAAAGGTGAAGTCTTAAACTTCCAAATGCTGCTCGGAACAGTCCTATTGAAGAAACGAAACACGTGTTGTAGGTTAATAATCCTGAAGAAAATCTCAAAAACTTACCGAAACAAAATCCAAAATAACCAAGGGACGACTCCAGACAATTATCAAAAAGAAATTAGTCTAAACCTTGAGCTCCCTGGCACAAAATTCCAAAAAGTCTCGCCCCAAAAACAATTAGGGCCGAGGCCCGAGACCGGACGACTACTCAGCGTGAGGTCGCAGATCAAAAGGGCAGATTCTTCATTTAGAATTTAGATTTCGGAAGAAGACTTTCATCTGTCAAACTTCTAATTTTGACATTGAAGAAAATTATAGAAAAGGACGTGTTCAGTTTCACCCCAAAAGTACGAACTGAGAATCGGTTGTGTAAAAAATGACTGGTGAATGTTGAAAAGTGCCTATAGAACATATATCAAAATGTAGAACAGGTCTAAAGAAAACGGCTAGACAAAACAGCTGTTCAATGACATGATGGAAATGAAAAGTCAAAGAGTACAAAAAAACAACAATTATTATCATAACCTCAGATGATTGATTGGATTTGCAAACAGAGATGGTGATGGTACTAACTCCCTTTCCTAAGATTCTAATCAATAACAGCGGGCCCTGCCGTACTGAATCAAACCTTCCCAGATCAATTAACCAAACTTGCAAACCTGAACCAAAAAAACTTCTAGTAGAAGGCAGCACTCAAGGTAACAAAATCTGGGCACAAAAAAGATAGTTGTTTATTCATTTATTTCATTGTAGTTCTATATGGAATCATATCTACTAAAGCAAAACAAGGTGGCTTATTAGCCAAGAAATTGAAAATGTTACAGTGTTGCCTGTATCCTCTGAATTTTTTTCTGATTTTTTTTTTACTGACAAAGAAGAATGCGTAGAGTAGGTACCTTAAAGATCCAATTATTCAGTAGCCCGCTTGCTTTGTGCACTGGAACCAGCTAAAAAGATTTAATTTTTGTATTGATGTTTTTTTGAGTGTTTTGATTAATTTTGAGTGTGCAACATGTCCTTATATGTGGTGTCCAATGAGAAATATATGTAATCATAAAGTGACACACTCCCTTTCTTAGGAAAAAATAGGTAAGCCTATCAATTTTTTATTCTGACTTGAGCTCTCGATCAGTGAACACGTTTACTCTTGAGAATACTCGAATCTGAATTTAGTTTGCGACAGCAAGCAGCCAGTTAGTTCGTCCTACTAGTGTCTAGTTCTACCAGTTCTACGCTACGCCATGGAAAACCAAACCAGCAAAGTTCTCCGAGCCGAAGACTACGTCAAGATGGTGAAAGAGATGGAAACCATGCGAGCACTTCTCAACGAGCAAGCGCAGACCGTGAAAGTTCTCATGGAAGAAAATCGAGCCCTCCGAGAAGCCGCGCCCGCCGCCAAATCCGCTTCTGAATCCGAGCACTCGGACGAAAAAAAGGAATCGGATGTGGGCGCGTTCTCGAGCTCGATCGAAACCATGGAAACGATTTCCGAATCTGAATCCATGATTGACATAGACGACGGTTTCACGACCGTTCCCAGCCGCCGCAAGCGCAAGGAACGGTCCTCTGAAGACTCGGATCACACTAAAAACTCTGTTTGTTCTAGCAAGAAGCCAAGAAAAAGACGAAAGAAAGCCAAAACCAGCCAAGCCGCCCTATCCGACGACGACGCCAGACACGTGCTGACCCAGCGCCGCCAAGCCACCACGCCCCAACCTATTGTCACGCCAGGACCATCCAATGTTGAGAAAACAACAGCGAAGCCAGCTGTATTACCAGCAGCGAAGAAAGGAGCTACCAAACCCCCCGGCAAAAACACAGTGCCGAGGGGACGCCGCGGCCGGGCCAACATCGCCAGAGTGGTCCCGGCCCCAGATACAACAACTGATGAAATACAGCAGCCCGATTCAAAGAAAGTGCCCCCAATCATACTCAGGGACAAAGCCAAGTATAACCAGGTCGCTAAATACGCAAAGGACTCCAAGATAGACATATCTAAGGCGTCAGCCACTGACGAGGGAGTACGCATACTCCCTACCACCTCTACGGATTATCGTAAACTGGTGAGTCATTTAGAACATACTAAAGTGCATACATTCCATACATTCCAACTCCCCGAAAACAAACTGCTCCATGTTGTTTTCAAGAGAGTATTGGAATCTACGTCTACGGATACCATAAAATCCGAGCTAGAAAACCTGGGGTACCACCCGGTCGCCGTCACCAGGTGGTACTGGAAGACGAGGGCAAAAAAGGGGCGCCCGATGCGTTGCGTCCTAGTGCTCCTACCAAGAACCGAGAAGGACATTTACGACAATATTGTGACACTAAACGGAATAACAATCCGTTTAGAAGCACAAAAAACGAAGGACCAATCAGGGCAGTGCCATAACTGCCAATTATACGGACACGCATCTTTTAACTGTAAAGCTGACTCTAAATGCGTAAAGTGCGCCGGTGCCCACAAAACCGAGAGCTGCACTAAAACGTCAGAAGAAGCCCCCAAATGTGCCAACTGTGAGGGAGCCCACCCGGCCTCATGGGAAGGCTGCCCAAGCCATCCCAAACACAAGCGACCAGCCCAGAGGAGACCCTTTTCCTGGGCCGTAAGAGCCAGAGCAGCCCCGACTGCGGGCCCCAGCGCCGGCACGAACCACAGAGCCGGCGCAGGCCCCAGACCCGCGGCGGCACCAATCAGCGACAGCCTGCCCGAGACGCT